TTCAAAACCTTATATTTAACATGTTAAGGGAAGACCATCCACTCTCAATCTCTTCCACAACCTTTTTGTGTCTTTTGAGTTCTTAAACTTTGATTTTGATTTTATTCGGTTCCACCATTGGGTTTTAATCGAAACTAGATTTAAGTTTCATATAGAGCAGAGTGGAAATAAGAGGTCGAACGGTTTGGGAATTAAGAAAATGGCAATACAAAAAGTGGTGGTCGGAAAAGAGAAATCCAGTGTATGTATTAATGATGGATTTAATGGTTCTAATGCACTTGATTATTGGTTGTCAAATTTGTACCCAACTGTCATAAGGAACTCAATGGTTTAATCGCCAGAAAAAATGGGTGTAATAATCATCGATGGCTTAATAGTACAAGTTTCAATTTGACGAAGACCACTTGGCACCATTGCTCTGGACGAGTTTAGATTTGAGTTTTGATCTGAGATGGAGGTGTATTGCAGAAAAATGAGGGTATTATCGCTGGAAAAAAATGTGGGAGGGAGGTGGTTCCTATCCTTAAGGTTTCTCTTGATCTCCATAATCGAGTCACGTCATTCCTGAATTTCAAGTACTGTCTCCATAACTGGACCTCTCCCTTACTCCTAAATCGCCTTTTGTAAAAAAGGTCCCATAGAAAGTGACCGGAGGGTTGCCGGAGAAGATTACCAGAGGGTCACCGGAGAAAGCGACCTTGTTGTGATTTTTCAAAGTTGGCCCCTATAATTTCATGGTTTTAACAAAAATAAAGGAAAACAATTAAAAAAACTACAAAAGATAGAAAAAACATGGTTGGACAGTCTTACCCCTAGTTGTAACGGACAATTTTAACAGCGTTAGTAGTCAGGTCCCATTTTCAAAGGAAAATCCAATCCCAAAGGATGATATCTTGACTTTCAAAGAAATCACTAAACTTGAGGGACCAAAATTGAAATTTACTTTTTTATTAATTAATTAAAAATTGTTTTATTTAAATTACAAATAAAATAAATAATATTTTAGTTGATTCGACAATTGAATCAATAGGCTAAGGCCCTGTTTGTTTTTCTAAAAAATACTTAATTGCCTCTTAAGTCTGACCGATTCAGACCTAGAGGAATTAAGTGCGTTTGTTTATTTTTAATTAAGTGATTAATTCATCTAATTAGGTCTGATTTATTTAGAGGTAAAACATGGTCTGAATTCCTCTTAATGCCTCCATCTCCCTTACGCAGTACGCTCCCTCTCCATCTCTCTCTCGCCTTCGCCTTCGCCTACGCAGTACACGCTCCCTCTCCATCTCTCTCTCGCCTTCGCCCCTCTCCATCTCGATACTCGCCTGCGTAACAGGATTGCTGTCGATTGCTCTCCATCTCGCCTTCGCCTTCGCCTACCGTCTAACAGGGCCATCTCTCGATTTAAGGTATTTTGATTCGATCTCTCAAGCTCTCGATTTTGTTTGTCCTTGCTTGGTTGATTTCTGTTTTCCTCTAATGTGAAGGTAATCGCATCACCCACATCAATTAGGGCTAACCTAATCTAAAACAKGCAGACATTGTTAACCCTTCTGTTAAAATTAGGAGTTTTGAATGATACCACTTATGCAAGTCTTCAAGACTATATAGTGTATTTGGTATTATTATTAGGTTCGGATTTACCTATATAGCAACTGTAAGCCSAAAGCATCAGGGAGTCCATTCATAGGATCGTAAAATGGTACTGGAATATAACAAATGTAAACAAGACAAAGCAACTGAAACTTCTGCTATACTTAGGACATTGGATATTGATATGTTCAACTAAATTCACAAGAGTTTACATTAGCTGTGGTCAGATCAAATTAAAACAGTTGGCACCCTATGAAAACAACAGGCCGAAAGAGCATGGACAGGATATTAATACCTTTTCTGTGAGACAAATCAACACCATATATGCAACATAAAAATCATCTGTTGGTAGCCATTGCTTCTTCAATGCTCCTGATAATTACACTGATCAAATGAATGACCGGCTGCAGTTTCACAGGGTTACAGATTAGGAGCTCCTTGATAAAAACTAGTTTCTTACTCCTGTCTTTAGATTATGTTAAAAAACATTAGAATGAATTTATAGCTACCAGATTTGTGTACAAATAGAATAACATGTACAAGATCCTCCATCCATGTGATAAGTTGATTTTTGCTCCGCGTGATCCTTCTTCCTCATGTTACAAAATCAGTTTTGCTCTTTTAACTGTAAACTGATTGTCTAGCTCACCGCTTGATATTAATTTGGTTTGTTTGATTGGGTCGATCTTATATTGGCTAGATCATAAAATGTTGATTGCCTGAGGTCATTGTGGATAGTTTTGTCAAATTAAYACCATTTACCTCCACTTTCTATTTTATGGGTCCAGAATCAAAYMTGCAGTTCTTCTCAAACAACATGAGAAAAAATGAAAATGTTGCTAAAAGTTGCCATCTTTATTTTCGTTATATTGCAAATTTTTGATCTTTTTAAAAGTTCTATCTTTTATGATTGATATTAGTCATGGATGAGAATGTGYGTGTGAAGTGGACAAACGAACTTACCAAACGGTTTCTAGAGACTTGTATAGAAGAGGTCAATAAGGTGGGTCGAAATGGAGGTAGTATTCGCAAGGAGACTTGGGTGCAAGTGGCAACCAAACTTGAAGAAGTTTGCCATGTAAAACTCACCCAGAAACAACTGAAAAACCAATATGATTATTTGAAGGGAAAGTATTCGGGATGGGTGTACCTACAGAATAAAACAGGGAATCTTTATGACCCTGAAATGAATACGTTCACCCTAACTAATCAAGAATGGGAAGATTTTTTC